TACAGACTTTATTTTCTTGCCTAGGAGCAATGCACCCTTCAAGTTGCACCATGTAAATCTCTTCTTCTAAATCACCATTTAGGAAAGTTGTTTTAACATCCATTTGATGAATAAAGAGTTTATGAATTGAAGCCAAAGCAATGAGAATTCTTATAGAAGAAATTCTTGTCATTGGAGAAAAGCTGTCAAAGTAATCAATGTTTTCTTTTTGTGTAAAACCTTTGGCTACTAGCCTTACTTTATACTTATCAATAGAATCATCGGGAAAATATTTTTTCCTAAAAACCCATATACAGCCAATTGGTTTTGCTCCTGGAGGCAAGTCAACTAAAACCCAAGTTTTGTTTTGTTTTAAAGAATCAATTTCAGCTTGAATTGCTTCTTTCCAAAACAGTGAGTCTGGAGAAGAGGTCGCTTCATAAAAATTTCTAAGTTCATCTTGTACTAAATAAGTATAGAAATCATCTCCAAAAGAGGTTTCCTTTCTTTGCCTTTTACTTCTCCATAGACTCTCTACTACGTTTTCATTTGAGTTTTGCTCAGAAGAATTTTCAACAATTCTAGGGATACGCTTAGCTTTCAAAGGAAAAATATGTTCAAAAAATTCTGCATCTTTAGTTTCAATAATAGTATTTTGACCCAAAACATCACTTTTTAAAACCATAAAACAATTAGCTGTACTTTGCTGAGCATACCCAATAAATAAACAATCAACAGTTTTAAAATCTATTTTCCTCTTTTTAGGGTCAGGTAATAGAACTTTTGCAAGGCACCCCCACACTTTTAAGTAATTAAGACTAGGTACAAAGCCTTTCCATAATTCATAAGGAGTTTTATTTGTTTTCCTATGGGGTATTCTATTTTGTAGAAAACAAGCAGACAAAATGGCTTCTCTCCAAAGGTTATCTGGTGTAGCAGAGCTTACAAGTAAAGCATTTATCATTTCTTTTAGTGTTTTATTTTTCCTTTCCGCAACACCGTTAGATTTTGGAGAATATGGAGGAGTTGCCTAATGAATTATTCCTTTTTTTTTCACAAAATTCATTTAATTGTAAAAATTCTCCTCCTCTATCAGATCTAACTCGTTTAATTTTCCTGTCTAATTGATTTTCTACTTTAGCTTTATATTAAAAGATTTTTTCAAAAGCCTCGTCTTTATTTCTTAACAAATATAATTTTGTATACCTTAAAAAATCATCGATAAAATTTACATAATATCTTTTACCACCTCTAGTCTCAGTTTGTTTCAAATCACCTAAATCAATGTGTATTAAGGATAACAACTCGGTTTCTCTTTGAATAGGAAAATGTGATTTTTTTAGTTTGTTTTATTTCTTCACATACCTCACATTTATTAAGAATATTATTTTTAATCCATGATATTAGCCCTAGATGATAAAGCCTTTTTATATAAGATTTACTTATGTGCCCTAATCTAGCATGCCACATATTAAAAGGAATCAATATAGAACACAGGCAAGTAAGCAGAAGAAGCATTTCCATTCATTTCAGCAATGTTCAGTACAAACAATCCTTGATTATAGTAGCCTTTCCCAACAAGAACATTATCTTTGTCATTACAATCTTGTCAGATTCAAGTGACACCTTAATCCCAGCTTTCCCTAACAGAGCCACAGAAATCAGGTTAGCTTTAACATCAGGCATGTATAGAACTTCATTCAGTGCTAAGGTCTTTCCAGACGTGAGTTTCAGGACAACTTTTCCTTTTCCCAGAACTTTTGTGGTTCGGGAATCAGCCAGATAAATATAGTCTTCTCCTTCTTCAAAGGAGGTGAACATGTCCTTATTCGCACAGATGTGCCTGGTAGCACTAAGTCTACCACCCACTTCCTCACATTGGAGATCACAAGGGCTTGTGAGACAACAGCAGTAATCTCATTGTTATCTCCTTCTACCAAATTTACATTTGGCTTAGGAGGATTTCTACTTTTACGGTTATTATTTTTACCAGCCCTTTTCCTGCACTGAGCTGCGTGGTGACCTGGCTTTCCACACACAAAGCAATCTCCTTTCTTCTTGAATTTGGGGTTAGAATCATTAGGCTTGTAATCAAAGTTTTTATTTCTAGGTTTAGTGTTGTACCTCTTGTCCTGCGGCTTTGCTTCTACCAAATTTGCCTTTGTTGCCAACTCCTTTCCTCTAGCTATCTGGATTGCCTTCCGGTTTGTGTCCTCAATGATGATGTGCGTGATTAGGTCTGACAGTGAAAGTTACTTTTGCTTATGCTTTAGTTGTTGCTTATAGTCATTTCATGAGTTTGGCAGCTTCTCGATTAGGACCCTGGCCACAAACTCATCTGGTAAATTTATCTTCTCAGTTCAGAGCTCTTCCAGTAGCTTATGGTATTCATTAATTTGAAGTTTTATATCCTTCTCTTCATCCATCTCCCATTTGTAAAAGTTCCCAACCACGAACTTTTGCTTTCCAGCATCCTCAGCAGTGTACTTCACAATCAGTGACTCCCATATTTTATGTGCCTCCTTGTATACACAGTAGACATAGAACAAGTCATTAGATAAAGTGCTAATGAGTGTATGTCGGCAAACCTTGTTGGCATTTGCCCAAGCATTCTTCTGGGCCTGGTCAGCATCAGTGGGGTGTTCAGGTTGAGTAAAAGCAGCAGCAGCAACTCCATGCATGTCAAGGACAGTGTACACACGTTCCTGCCACCGTCTGAAGTACTTTCCATTGAACACATCAATCTTGGAGACATCTAGGAATGGCTTAGGTAGTGGCACTGCAGTGAAGACAGGAGCATGGGCAACGTTGATAGTAGGGTTAGTGTTCCCGGCAGCAGCATCATTACGGGACTCCATACTAACTCTTAAGATTGTTGAGGAAACTGGAGGTGTGTATTAGCTAGGTTCGAGTTGTGCCGGTAGACACTGTCCTTAAGAGTTATTCCACCACCATAGGTAAACGTGAGTGCAGCACTCCCCAGGATTAAACGAACCCTTCCTGCAGAAAACAGGGTGACAAAACAGTAGAAAAATATAACCCAGCAGCACAGAAACACAGAGAGGGAAGAAGAGAAACGCAGAGGAGGAACAGATGCTCAAAAACTCAAGAGCGGGGTGCAAAACACATTGTCCTGGACCGCTTTATATAGGCCTCGGGGACCTAACTGTTGGGCACCACCATAAACACGACTAACTCGTCAGTTTCATACGTTACTGCAATAATCTGCAATTATACTTTCGGTTATGAACGTTGGGTACATTTAAGAAATAAATTCCAGACGTTACCAAACATTAATCCATGAGAAATGGTTTAAGGATTAATGGAGGATTAATCACGGTTTGAAAACCCCCAACATTCAGTAACCTTTGGCTGTTACAAAAATAAATGGTCAAAAGAAGAATTTTCTGATAAGCTCTCTTATCACCATTTTATAATTTAATTTTGCAAAAATGTTTTATAAAAAGTGCCCGATACTGTTCTAACAGTTTTCAACTGTATTTCCCTCCGATGGGCTGTTGTCGTGTGCGTGAGATCCTCCTTCTCCTTTAGACCTATTCATTAGCCCAATAATGTATGATAGTATTTATACACTTGAGCTCCCTCTCTCTTGGGCAATGTGGGACTTCACTTTTGACACACCCCTTTACATACACAACACAAAGACCAAGACAAAAATCCTCACGTGCAAAAACACGCACACACACCAACAATGTAAATTAAATTTTACAACAATCATGTAAACAGGTACGTTTGAAAAAAACAAAGGTTAAAGAGAAAATAAGGTTGGGATAAGTAGTAGAGGACCAAAAGGCCTAAACCCTAACGTTGACGAGTTGTAGTAGTGTTGTGTGTTGTTGTGGTGACACATCAAAAGACCAAGACCAAAATCCTCACGTGCAAAAAAAAAAAAAACACACTCAACAATGTAAATTAAATTTTACAACAATCATGTAAACAACCAATCATGCAAAGACGGTGCCTTCATCATTGAAGCATATGAATTGACCTTCAATTCCCCTAATTAATTCTCCACTTTACTTCCATTTGCCTTTAATTTCTTCTTCTTCTTTTTTTGTCTTTATTTCTTCACATTTTCCTTTTCCTTTGATTCAAGCCTCAATGCATGCTCGCTTATCCACCCACCACCCATCTCTCTGATCGCACAGAAGCAGGAATCTTAATTGCACATCATCATTATTTCTTTGGAAAAAATTAGTAGCTTCTTTTAAAAAATTTCTTAATTGGTAGCCATGGTAGGTAGAGGATAAACATGCATAAATGGGATAGATGCATATGTGTAGTTATAAATATTCCTTATTTAGAGATAATAAAAGACACGACGAGGGAGGTAAGAAGATTATGTTGACACGTGTTTGAAGGGGAGAAAAAGAATCAAAATCTATTAATTTAATAAACATAGTGTGGGAGGTATGAAGATTATGTTGAGACGTGTTTGAAGGGGAGAAACAGAATCAAAATCTTTTAATTTAATAAACATAGGATCTAGTCAATTATTGGAAGCTTGTTTGATATGAAGTCAATCGTCAACCATTACGATTATACTATGCTTTCTTCTTCGTTCATTGAAATTGCTAGACTGTTTCGTTTTCATATAATGGCAGGGATTATTTCTAATATAAGTACTTGCCAAATAATTACTTCCATAAACAATTGTCTAGTTACTGTGATTCACGAAAAGAATATACAATATTCCAAGGAACTCTCATACCTAATATCTATGCAACGAACTATACGTATCTATATATACGTCGGTGCTTGTGTTGGCAACCTCGTGTGCTTGTGGCTTGGGCTTACGCAATCATATACTGTGTGTACTGTGCATATACATGTACGTGAATTCTCTTCAAAGACGTCATATAATCATTATTACGTAGAGAAGCATACTCCCCATGCCCACGTCACTGTTTCGATCTCTTTAAGTTGTTATATATAAAAAAGGCCTACCTTCCTCTTCCTCCTCTGCCCATCTCACTTACGCATTCTCACCACACACGACCATGTCAACGCTCTCGCATCACTATCCTTCTCTTCTTCTTCCTCTTCTCCTGCTACTCAAATCCTTCACAACCCCAATGTCTTCCTCATCCACACAGGCTTTCATCTTTGGCCGTTGCTCTCAGGCTAAGTTCACGCCGGGCTCTGCCTATGAGTCTACCGTCAACTACCTTCTCGCTTCCATCGTCAAAGCCGCCATGTTCTCCTCCTACAACAACCTCACCGTCCCTCACTCCTCACAGGACACCCCCATATGCGGCCTTTTCCAGTGTCGCGGCGACCTTGCCGCTGCCGACTGCTCCCGCTGTGTTGGCCAGGCCGTCTCCCAGCTTGGCACTATCTGCCCCTACTACACCGGCGGTGCCTTGCAGCTCGACGGTTGTTTCGTTAAGTATGATGATTCCAAGTTCTTGGGCATGGAGGACAAGACTTTGGTGGTTGAGAAATGTGGGCCGACGACTGCATTGACTTCGGACGTGTTGACTCGGAGGGACGCTGTGCTCTCGTATTTGGAAACGTCCGATGGGGTGTACAAGACGTTTAGAACGACTAGCTCAGGGGATTTGCAGGGCATGGCACAGTGCGTAGGGGATTTGAGTGCACCCCAGTGCCAGGATTGCCTCTCAAACGCGATCGGACGGCTAAGAGAAGAGTGTGGGCCTGCTCAGTGGGGTCGGGTATACTTGGCCAAGTGCTGTGCACGCTACTCTGAAGGTGGGGATTACTCGTCCGAAGAAAACGGTAAGCGGCTCCGCCACCGTGAATAATAGTGGTGGTTTTGGTATTTCTGCTGTTTCGTTTTTGCTTTTATTATTATTATTATTATTATTATTATGATGATGATGATGAAGTTTTTGAATGATTATTTAGTGAGAATTGACTTGCTTGAATAATTTTCAATATACGTTTCAAGCCGCGATGAAGGCGTAGAAGGGTCGGTGCGGAAATGAAGGCCATTGGCATTTGGTAGGAGGCATAAGTTCTGATTATTCGAGATACCTTTTTTAATTTTTGTTAGGAAAACAAATATTTTGATATAGTCTGATTTTGGACCCATTTAATTGGGGTTGCTTGCCAAATTTATCGGTCTAAAAGGTTTGTCTTTTGAGTTCTGTTGCCTTCCTTCCCTCTTTTATTCTCAAAATAGGGAAAAGAAAGAATAATATAGTGAAAAGAAAGAAAGGTACGTTATTTGATCTTGTTGATGTGCTACTCTTTTGATTCATGAATGCTTCATGCCTTTCTATGTATGAGTATTTCAAAATATTTCAATTGTTAGTTAAAAGTAGCCATTTGAACTTTCTTGGTGGTGGAAAAAGCAGAACATAATTAATAAATCATACACATCACTTTATATGAAGAATCCTATGAATGAAAATAAACAATCAAATCAAAATATCAAATAAAGCAAGAATGATAGTGCCAGTTTTCCTAATTCATAAAAAAACAATGAAAGGGCCGCTTGCAGTCACAACACAAAAAGGTAGGTATTTTGGTACAGAGCATCCTCATCATTTGCGACGTCGTCTTTTCCTGATTATTAAGATTAATTATATTTAATCAGTTTGAAATTATCCCTTGTATGATGCGTAATTTTAAATTTGTTATGAACAAAGAAATCTAATTAATTGATATATGAATTGTAATGTGTAGGTAAGCGTAAAAACAAGAACGGCGATGAATTTCAGAACACACAGGTAATAATAGTTGGTGTCATAGCAATCGTAGCAGTGGTGGCTCTGCTCATCATATTCATTTCATTCTTGGCCAAGCTGTGCAAAAGCAAAGAGGTATGCTCCCTCCAGTGTTTTTTTTATAAACAATATTGGAGCTTATATCAAAATATTAGTTAAAATTAATTAAAGACAATAAATGTGTAGAAATTACAAGTTCTTTCTCCAAAATGCCTTTATTTATAGGGGAAAGAGAGTATAAGAGAGAGAATAAAAAAATTATTATAATAAAGAGAATTATAAAAGAGAGAGACTGTGTGATGAAGAGATGATGATTTGGGAAATGAGATAATAAATATTTTGAGTATTAAAATAAGTAATTAATGAGGGCAAAATAGGAAATTTGCTACAAAAATTTAAGACAACTTGTAAATATTGTTTATATTTCGAAATAAGAGGAAAATGATAATTGTTGCTTATAAAATGAGACAGAGGAAGCATTTTTTAACCTTAATTTCCTTTATATATATTGCACCCAATTTTTATCCTTTTTAATTTTCCTAATTAAGAATTTGATTAATCACCTGCAGGTGGTAATTCATGTGGAAAATAAACAAGAAACTCAGGTGGAAAACAAACAAGAAACTCAGGTGGAAATCAAACAAGAAACTCACGTGGAAAACAAGTACCCTCTCGTAATATTTCTAGTTCGGCTAATTCCTTGGTTTGCAGAAGATCCAGTCCCTTGTAACAAGTGTTAAAAGGACAGAGCCAGTTGCTCTAGGGCCTTCCCTTCTTATTTCAAAGAACTAGTTGGATTTAAGTTTCCGATTGTACCACATATGACATATTGTTCACTATGTAACTATTTCACAAATTATGTGAAATATCTTCTTGACGTGCATCATGCCACTCTGAGTCTTCACTTCATGTTAATGTCTTTGGATGAATTAGGTTGAAAGGAATGACGGTAGCAGATTCATTTCCACCAAAGATTCGAACTTTTTGAAAAGCTGATTTGGTCTGATTCTAATGTTCAATTCATCACTTTGTCAGTGAGTGAGTGGAACAGCTAAAGTTAACAGAACAAGCGGCAACAAAATACTTCAACAGATGAATACCTCATGACAGTTTGACTTGATAAAAAAAGTGGAGACGTATCCTGTATGCATGTCTGTATCAACAAACTTGCACATAACAGTTCTGTATATTGAAACAATATTAAAACTGTTGATTGGTACTTGGCTCGGAAGTTTCTAGGTTCAAAAACACGCATAATAAAAATAGTTCAGTGATGATAAAATTTTTAGATACTTAAAAGAAAGAGCAGGAGGCAAGGGGTGTCTGTGTCAGAAAAGAGGCTTGACAAGCACCGTAGGAAAATTTGAGTCCCGTGGGAACAGAAACAAGAACAAGAGTGGTTGTGGTTTCAAGAGGCTTGAGTGGTTATAAATTGAAATGTCGCGTCCATTGTCTCACCCAATTCCACTCTGTGATTTGCTCTTTTTGAGCACAAAAATCCAGTCCTGATTGAATAAATATTCGCCATCGCTCTCCTTGCCCATTTTGGTGGACCCCAGAAAAGTTTGGTCAATTTCCAAATCATTACGGGAAGAATGAAACCATTTTCTTACAGTTTAAGATTTCGCTCTTCCTTTTGTTTCGAGCGAATCGTTAATGCCCAATCCATTAACCCACATGAGGATTTTTCTTTTGGGAAAAAAAAAAGGTTGATCGTTTACCATTTGAATTGGCGACAATGTTTCTCATAGCGGATGACCTGGTCTAACTCAACCATATTAAGTCAATGTGGATTCAAAAAAGAAATTTCAAGTCAGATTTGTTGGCCAATTTGAAACAAGATCCTAAAAAGAATTTTTTTGGTGAAAATTTATAATTTTTTTTCAAGATGTATATATAAATATAATTCTATAAAGAAGTATATAATTTTTTTGAATAATTGTTGGCTAGCATTTTTTTTTTGGTGTGCCTTACATATATTTAATAATTTTGTTTTGAGGAGGAGAAAAGATATAATGTTGTAAGAGGCACGTTTTCAACAAATGGAAAAATTAAGTGGAACGGGGACCATAAGGGGCAATTTCGTCAAGGGATTGAACCAATGAGGGAAGAGATTCGAACGGAAAAGTACATGGAACGGGGACCATAAGGGGCAATTTCGTCAAGGGATTGAACCAATGAGGGAAGAGATTCGATTAGAGGTCATTTTCAATGTCTTGTTGGTACCCATTACATAATATCCGTGTGAATATGAGGCCATCGTGTTAGTGATAAGGATAAGATAACTTTAGCCATTTTTTCTTTCTCTGGTTCATTTAAAAAAAATAAAAAGAATATAATCTTTTTTTTTAAAAAAAAGGAGAAATGTCATTTTCTTGACAAAGAAGTGAAAGGGATAAGGAACCAGCCTCCATTATTAAATTTGGGTGCCATTCAGATCACTACTTAGCCAACAAATTCACTGCTTCAACAAGGGTTCCCTCTGTACCAAGAGAGAAAAGGGGAAAAAAAGGGGGGGGGGGGAGAGAGAGAGAGTTCCCCTCACGTACTTGCATAAATTATTGGAGTCACCTGCACCTAACTCAAACTGGTAAGATAAGAATTTAGATTCAAACTCTTCATACATAATAAATTAATATTAAAGAAAAAGTTTATTCAAGCCCCATATTTCCCTTGTAGAATGGATAAATCCCACATTAGTAGTAGGAATAATATTTGAACTGTCTTCTGCACTTTTCTTTTCTTGAGTTTTTTTGGGCCTCTATTGTACTTGGGACCTCTTCTTCAGGTTCCAATGCTGGCAAGTAGTGGCAATAATAAGCAGAGCTAGCGGGGGGAAATCGTGTGCGCATGTTTATCCAAATTATGGCTGAATTAAGAGACTATATATATTGATTGAGTTGCTTCAAATTTAAAAACTACAAGGATTAGGTTGTTTCACATCAAAATTGAGGGGTTGAATCAGCAATTGAAGCAAAGTACAGGTTGAAAAGTCTTATTTCCCGCGTTTTCTAGCATGATTTTTCTGGGGGCTGCCGTTCTTGCTCCCTTTGTGTCGTTTTGGGCTAAGTTTGTTTTTGTTGCGTTATTTTTGGGTCTGAGTTCTTTGGGCTATAGCCTTCTTGTATACTTGTGGGCTTTTGCAATTGCATATAAGTGGGTTTCATTCTTGGGGGAATAATGGAAATTAAGGGGCGCACAAGAGTGCGGGGATATTGACGGATTCAAGCTTCCTGGGATAATATAGTTTAAATAAATATCCTAATTATAAAAACCAGTTAACTAATTTAAAGAGATTAAAAAATAAGTTGAGTTAGTTATTTGTCTTAAATAGGTGTTGTCTTTCCTAAAATATCCTTGCTAATCAAGTATATTGATTAAAACTATTATTGTTAGAAGGGTTATTTTAGAAAAAAAAATATAAATATGAGAAACAAAGTGGATTGGAGTCTTATATTTAAGACCAAAATAAAAGTCAAACAAGATCTAATATTAAGGACCGGAGGTAGTAATAACTAAATGATTTAGATGGCTTTATATTCAAACACAATTATTTTTGACCAGTTAAAACATTTCCCACTTCAATTTTACATCACACATGGAAGTTTCCTGATTTAAGCATAGAAATCCAATATGAGACGACCGTTAGAAAATAATCACCCCTTGCACTCCATCATGACAAGGATCGCATGTTTGATTTAGTTATTTCTCGAAAGCTTCAATTGATACCCACAGAGACACAAAAGCTTGACTTTAGATCTCCTCAAAAATCAGTAAAAGTTGAAACCACCAAATAATTCAGATTCATTTGCATCTGAAGAATCTAAGCATTCGTCTGCCATTTTAGAACTGAGATTAGAACGAACTAAATGGAGGTCGGGACGAAGCTGAACAAGGAGTGGCATAAACACGAGCGGTGAGGCAACAGGAAGAATATCAGAATTCTGTTTCACGTTATGATATGTCAAGAACCCTTACCTCAGCAACAGCCAAAGGATCATAAATCCAAATATAATACTCCTCCGGTCCTAAATGTAAGACCCTTATACACACTAGTATAAGGGTCTTACATTTAGGACCGGAGGAGTATGAAAATCCTAACAAGTCAAAACATATTTATAAGTTATGAACAGTGAAATTTGGCAGAAGATTTAGTCCATCGTAACATGGCTAACAAAGGTTAAAATCTTTATTAGAAGATGTATCCACATCTAGTATTTGATAATATTTCGAACAAAATTGTCTCTAATAAAAAAAATGGATGTGCTTATTAAAAAATATTTGGAAAACTGTAAAAGGCTGAAACTCTGTTGGCTACAAGAGTATGAGAGAGTCAAGTTCTGTACATAATTACAATAAGAGGCCATTTGGAATCATGATTATAAGCACTTACAAATATGTTTTTGTAAGTTAAGATAAAACTCTTTTTACATACTTATCTTATTTTTCTTAAATTACAATTAAAAAATTAACTTATAAGTTGTTCTAAATAGAGTTTTTAGGAACAAAATGCAATAGGCCGCACATTTTTGTACAATATGTTGAAAGAAGGGAGAGAGTTAGCTAGATGTGATTAGTTAGTTTCTTTTATGATTGTATGAATGATGAAGGGCCTTTCACTTCTTCTTCTTCTTTTTTCCCCCGGTAAGCACAGTTATCCTCTTGATAGAGATAGTTTTATTTGAGTTACTGTCAAGTACTAAATATGTGAAAATAGAATGCAAAAGCCTAAGGAATAAGTTGGGCCGAATTTCATTTATGAGTGTGCATTCTTCGGGCCGAGTTTCCAAGTGGGCCCAAACCTCTACAAAGATTAGTTTTTTAGTGGAAATTTTGAAGAATTGACAGTTGTATAAAAAACGATTGGAAGAACAGCCTGACAAGTTTAAACGTATGATGATAATATAATACACGAAACATTTTCTTATTAATTATGAGAAAACCTGATTTCTAAAAAGACAAGATAATAAATTATACGTGATTTTTTTTTTTGACCTCGGAATTCTACGTGAATTTTAAATTATATAATCATATTTAATACGTTCAAATTCTATATATATATATATATACATATATTGTATAATGTATATATATTCCTTGTTGTTGAGAAAGACATGATTGATTCGAATTCTTCTTATTGGAAAAATGATTTTTTTAAAAATATTTGATACGGTTATAGTATGGCAATGATAAAATGAAAATATGAGTGAATAGTACGTTAACCCGGAATTAAAAAAAATATATATACTATTTTTTAAAAACTTTCAAAATCAACTTGTAATTCAATACCCTAGGCTCATAATTTTGTTTGGTAATAAAACCATGTATATAATGCCTGATAAACATCATACGAATGTTGAGTTACTTGCACTTAATTCAATTATCACTGATCAAATTAATAAGAATTGTGCACTGTGAGTTTAAAAATACTTTTGAGTTTTGACCAAAAGTTGGTGTTCGAAGAATATATAATACTCCTCCGGTCCTAATTATAAGACCCAATTGACTTATTTGAGGAAATTAAGGAAGTAAGTTAAGTTGGTTATTTATAATAAATAAGTGTTGTTATTCCTAAAATATTCTTTCTAATTAAGTATATTGGTTAAAACTATCATTATTAGAAGGATTATCTTGGAAAAAATGCATAAATATAAGAGAGAAAATAGATTGGGTCTTATAATTAGGACCAAATAAAAAGTCAAATTGAGTCTTATAATAAGGATCGGAAGAGTATTTTTTTTGGGGGCTTTGGTCAAGAGAAGGCATCATTGAATTAAATTAAATATATGATGTGTCAGTTTATAATCTCGCAGATTATGATTAAGGAAGCCATCATTACTCGATTATATTATGCGACGTAGAGGGGAGCGTCGTTAGTTTAAGAGGGCGATTGGACAAATCATCAATTTTATACTTCAGCAACTTACCATACGTTCTTCTGGTCCTATTTATAAAACACTTTTAACATATTTTATATAGATCAAGAGAAACTTTAAACTGTATTAATTTTTCATTAAAATATAATAACTTTCAACTTTACCAATATTTAATATATACATCTTTTAAAAAATAATTATCTATACTATAATAAATGAATGACAATATAATACATTTATGATAAAAATTTAATGAAGTAACTCATAAATAAGACAAATAAAAATCTTCTCTCTGTGTCTCATAATAGGACCAGAAGAGTACTATTATAATTTATGTATGGGACCTAAATAATTATAACAAGACGAATTCCATGGAATCTTCTTTTATTCTACCTCTTCCCTCAAACCATGGTTGTTTCTTTTGGTTCTGTCCCAATCTGTTAAATCCCTGGCAACGGCACATCTTCCAAAAAAAAAATCCCTTTAACTAATGTTGATTAATCAACCACTTTGGACAAGAAAATAATGTTTATACATATGCTTTTTTTTCTTAATCAAATTTTGCCTATATTTGATATGTTGTATTTGTTTATATATGTGGAAAAGTATAAGATGGTGTTGTGAAAGAATACGCTGCGACGTTTGGCAATGAGCCATGATCATTAGGTTCAACTACGAAGTCATAAAGATAAAAATGAACAATATAATGTCAAATCAAAATAAAATAGATTTATGAGATGGGCCAAAGTGGGCCTCATTTATTTAACCCTGCCCCTCCTTATAAATAAAAAGTACTTTGGATTTTTTTTTGACAAAAAAAACTCATTTGTGTGTGCATGTGTGTATATATTGTGAAGTATAAAATTACTTACTTGAAAAAAAATTTACTTAAAAATAAGAAAATAAGCTAAATCAAACACTCTAGATCATCTCATACTTTGGGTAAACAAAATGTTGTCTTGCTTTGAACCTGCATTTGAATTGAAGCTGACTCCGCATGTCCACTAGATGTTGTGGGAAAACAGCACATCAATATCTTCACTTACGAGGATGGGTCCTAAGAAAACGCCTTCATGAAAGCACTCAGGCACATCTCTTGGAAGAATATGCATTAACGGGAATTGGATTTAGTAGAAAGACCAGGTTTTTATAACATGATTAATGAAAATTAAAATTTTTGTCAGAAGAAATATTCATATTTAGTGCCCGATAATATCTTGAATAGAATTATCTTTAATAAAAAGATGTATATGCTTATTAAAAAAAGATTTGGAAAAATGTGAGGGGTTGAAGTTTTGGTGATAGCAAAAGTATGAGAGTCAATTTCTGTACATAATTACATTAACTGGTCATTTGGAATCATGATTATAAACATGTTTAACATAAGTCAAGAGAGAATTCTTCTTGTATATTTATCTCGTTTTAGGAAAATCATGATTAAAAAATAAAAAAATGACAAAAAAAGTTGAAAATTATTAAATGTCAAATAAGAAATATCAACAAAAATTTGCTGTCATTATCTAACTAATGACTTATTAAAGTAAATTTGATATTTTACAAAGTAACTCATAATTGTTTGCGAAAAATTATCATTGTGCATGTCAATACAAAAACATGAAGCACTAAAAAAATGAAATGAAATAACTATTGGAGTTAATTCATAAAACAATCTTTGGCCAAAAAAAAATTATAAAACAATCATACTCATAAATAAATTAGATAAATAGAAATAGATCAGTTTCCCTCACGTCTCTTGCCTACGTGAATGGAGTCTTTTGAGCTACTAACCTGTTCCTTCTCTAAAAACACGCCCACTCTTTCTTCTCTTCCCTAACAAATCACTTCCTTCCTTATTGTCTCCCACTCACCTCAGCCAATCGGCCGTGGCTTCCATTGAAAGTAACAATCAAGAGGGTATCTTTAATTACTTCTATTCTTTGACTTGGCAATATACTTTAATTATTCCATTTTCACCTTCAAGGTGATATTCCAGCAGGTTTTCATGCAGCAGCATCAGATTTAATTGCTGAGCCCCACCAAAATGTTCTGCAAAAGCACACTTACTTCTTCGACAGGAACCAGGACGGCGTCGTCTACCCCTGAGAGACTTTCCGAGGTGAATCAAATAGGAATTTGTAGACGGAAACAAATTCAAGGAGGAATATTGACTAACAGTAATCATATTGAATCTTGTGATTGTAGGGCTTCGTGCAATCGGTTGCGGCATCTTCTTGTCTTCTGTATTTTCACTTTTGCTCCCTCTGGCTCTGAGTCAGAAAACTCGCCCCGTAACTTTCTCTATCTTTTCTTTTCTAGCATAGTTTTCAACGTGGTTGTATTTGAATAGAAGGAGATATGTTGATGTCGATAAGTGACAATTAAGTGGGATTCGTATTGATGAATGGTGCAGGGAAAATGTCCTTCTCTGTTTTTACCAACTAGAGTTAGAAATGTCCAGGGGGGCAAGCATGGGAGCGACTCCGGTGTTTATGATTCTCAAAGAAGGTTCGTGTGAGTTGTTCTTCTAAACATTTCTTCTTCTTGATAATTTTCAAGTGATCCACTCACATGATGAAGTGGTTTATAAGTTCAAAAGGTTCTACCATCTAATAAGCTAGTGTTTTAAATTTGTGCTTGCAATATTAGTGCTTTCATCGGAAGTGTTGAAGGCAGAATGCATTGTTACAAGTCTCATGTTGAGAAGTGTCACAAGAGAAATAAGGCTAGTAAGTTTAAGAAGCTCGACCACCATAGACTAGTCTTTTGAGATGTTCTTTTCCTTGCTCATAATATTGATGCAATATTTTCTATTTAGGACGTGATCGATATGTACATAAAGTGATAGCTATGATTCTTTACTCTGTTTATTTGGACAGCATTTCTCATTCATTCCCCAATCTTATTTTCATATGTATGTATATACCACACGAATGCTTTAACATGAGATAAAGTGTCAGCCATGCCCAAGGCAAACAAAGATCCTAAGGATTACTGTGGATGGTAATAACTCAACATTAATCAATTAACCTTTTTGTCATTTACTACAGGGTTGGTAGCTAGGCAGAGTGGGCATTTTTGTATTATCTTTGCAAAGACAAGAATGGTTTACCACGCAAAGAAACAGTGAGAGTTGTTTATGATGGTACCTTTTTTCATCAGATGGAAAAGGACCACTCTTCCAACACTACCCTCTAATTTTACAGATTCTTTCATCAAAACTAAAATATGGACATGAATTGTTGAATAATGGTGTTGGGTTTCATTTGTACCATTAGCATCCTCGGTTAACAATTTTGTAATACAGTGACATGAAAATTTACGGACAAATGGATGGCCAGTGATTGTCCCTCTATTTTTTTTGTCCCAAAGGCTACAGCAGTTACTTTACGAGTCATCCGCGATAGTCACATGAAACTTCAGATTACAGTCATGAAAGGTCCTTATTTGAGATCAGTTAGTGGGCTGAATTCCGGTGTAGGCCCAACTTGGTTTTCCATAGTTAGTCCATTGAAATCTAGTAAGCCATCGAAACCTAACTCATTTAAACAAAAAATCACAATCGTTTTCATCGGCATGTGAGAGAGACTTTGGATTATGTTCATTGACGATAATAGAAACCTTGCATATATATGTCACTTGTACTGCCCTAAAATGTTGTATCAATGATATACATCATTACCAATACTAATATACTTTTTCCGCTATTTAATTAATTTACATAAATTAAAAATAATTAATAAATTAGTTATTTGTAAAAAAAAATATTTTTTTACAAAAAACCCCTCCTTTTAATCATACAATTGCCATTCAACTTTGCAGTACAATAATTTTATGCAGTTTGAAAAAATAATAGATGAGAAAAAACAAAGAAAATTAATATATATTATAGTTAAGATCAAAACAAACTCTCCAATTAACTAGTTTCTATAGTTGAAAAATATCTTCTGCTTAATATATTTACCACCACCAAACAGGTATATTTGGACAAAACAAAAAACAAAAGGTTGAAGAGAAAATGAGGATGGGGATAAGTAGTAGAGGGCAACAAAACCTAAACCCTAACGTTGACCGGTTGTAGTGCTGTGTGTTGTTGTGGTGGCGATATTAAAAGACCAAGAGAAAAATCCTCACAAAACACACGCGCGCGCATGCACAACAGTGTAAATTAAATTTTACAACAATTATGTAAACAAACAAATAAACAATCATGCAAAGGTGCCTTCATTATTGAAGCCTATAAAGTGACTTTCCCCTCGTTAATCTAATAGGCACTGTCAATTATTGGAAGCTTGTTTAATATGAAGTCAATCGTCAACCATGATCATTATACTATGCTTTCTTCTTCGTTCATTTGATTTCTAGGCTGTTTCGTTTTCATCTAGTGGCAGGATTATTTCTAATGTAATTAGTGCTTGCCAAATAATTACTTTCATAAACAATTGTCTACTTGTTGTGATTCACAAAAAGAATACAATATTCCAAGGAACTCTTATGCCTAATATACATGCAACGAACTATACGTACCTATACGTCGGAGCTTGTGTTGGCAACCTCGTGTGCCCCTGGTTTGGGCGTACGCAATCATATACTCTGTGTACTGTGTATATACACATGCGTGAATTCTCTTCAAAGACATCATATAATCATTACTACGGACACAAGCATACCCACACACACATGTCGCTGTTTCGATCGCTTTAAGTTGTTATCTATAAAAAAGGCCTACTTGCTCCTCTTCCTCTGCCCATCTCACTCACGCATTTTCACCACCACGCACGACCATGTCAATGCTCTCTTCTCACTTTCCTTCTCTTCTTCTTCTTCCTCCTCCTTTTTTGCTACTCATATCCTTCGCAACCCCAACGTCTTCCTCCTCCTCCTCCTCCACCCAGGCTTTCATCTATAGCAGTTGCTCTCAGGCTAAGTTCATGCCAGACTCTGCCTATGAGTCCGCCGTCAGCTCCCTTCTCACTTCCATCGTCAACGGCGCCATGCTCTCCTCCTACAACAACCTCACCGTCCCTTCCTCCTCCACACAAAACACCCCCATCAACGGCCTTTTCCAGTGTCGCGGCGACCTTGCCGCTGCCGAATGCTCCCGCTGTGTTGCCCAGGCTGTCTCCCAGCTTGGCACCATCTGCCCCGACTCCACAGGCGGCGCCTTGCAGCTCGACGGTTGTTTCGTTATGTATGATGATTCCGAGTTCTTGGGCGTCGAGGACAAGACTTTGGTCGTTAAGAAATGCGGGCCTTCCACTGCGTTTACTTCAGATGGGTTGACTCGAAGAGATGCTGTGCTGTCGTATTTGGAGACGTCCGATGGGGTGTACAAGGCATTTAGAACGACTAGCTTGGGGAATTTGCAGGGTATAGCGCAGTGCGTAGGGGATTTGAGTGCGACCGATTGCCAGGATTGCCTCTCAAATGCGATTGGACGGCTAAGAGAAGAGTGTGGGCCCGCTCAGTGGGGTCGGGTAGGCTTGACCAAGTGCTACGCGTGCTACTCCGAAGGTGGAGATTACTCGCCCGATGAAAACAGTAAGCGGCTCTGCCACCGTGAATAGTGGTGGTTTTGTTTTTTTTTTAATACAGTAATATGAATGAAAATAAACAATCAAATCAAATCAAAATATCAAATAAAGCAAGAATGATAGTGCCATTTTTCTAATGAAAGGGCCGCTTGCAGTCACAACACAAAAAGGTAGGTATTTTGGTACAGAGCATCCTCATCATTTGCGACGTCGTCTTTTCCTGATTATTAAGATTAATCATATTTAATCAGTTTGAAATTATCCCTTGTATGATGCGTAATTTTAAATTTGTTATGAACAAAGAAATCTAATTAATTGATATATGAATTGTAATGTGTAGGTAAGCGTAAAAGTAAAAACAGTGATGGACTTCAGAAGACGCAGACAATAATAGTTGGCGTTGTAGCAGTGACGGCTGTGCTCACCCCGTTCATTTCATTCTTGACCAAGGTCATAAAAAGCAAAGTAGTATATTTTTTAACCTTAATTCCCCTTATGTATATTATACCCAATTTTTATCCTTTTTAATTTTTCTAATTAAAAATTTGATTAATCACCTGCAGGGGGGAACTGGAGGAGAAAATCATGGGGATAACAAACCCCCTCCCACAATACCTCCAGTTCAGCTTATACTACCAATTAGTCGGCCGGATTGCCCAACTCGGTTTCCCATATGTAGTCCATCGAAATCGCAATCGTGTTCATCGACATGTGAGGGAGGGGCAAGTGATGACAATAGAAACCTTGTGTGTATGAGTCACTTGTACTGCCCTTAAATGTTGTATCAATGATATACATCAATATCAATAATAATATACTTTTTCCGCTATTTAATTAATTTACATAAATAAAAAATAATTAATAAATTGGTTATTTGTAAAAAAAAATCTTTTTTTTTAAAGTACCCCTCCTTTTAATCATACAATTGCTGTTCAACTTTGCAGGGCAATAATTTTATGTAGTTTGGAAAAAAATAATAGATGAGAAAAACAAAGAAAAATAATATATGATAGTTCAGATCAAAACAAGCTCTTCAATTAACTAGTTTCTATGGTTAAAACCATATAATATATATATATATATATATATATATATATAAAACAAAGTCTATATACACACCTCCATATGAATTTTTTTTATTTTATTAAAGAGGCAGGTAATAATAGCTTAAAGTTACAAATAGGATAGAATGTGCAATCTCCCACTTATAAGAGAGCATCAATATCACTAAATTACAAAAGGCCTACCTTCCTCCTCTTCCTCTGCCCATCTCACTTGCGCATTCTTGCCACCCACGACCATGTCAATGCTCTCTTCTCACTTTCCTTCTCTTGTTCTTCTTCTTCCTCCTCTCCTGCTCCTCACATCCTTCACAACCCCAACGTCTTCCTCCTCCACCTCCTCCATCCAGGCTTTCATCTTTGGCAGTTGCTCTCAGGCTAAGTTTGCGCCGGCCTCTGCCTATGAGTCCGCCGTCAACTCCCTTCTCACTTCCATCGTCAACTCCGCCATGCTTTCCTCCTAAAATAACATCACCATCCCTTACGTACTCCTCCTCACAGGACACCCCCATCTACGGCCTTTTCCAGTGTCGCGGCGACCTTGCCGCTGCCGATTGCTCCTGCTGTGTTGCCCATGCCGTCTCCCAGCTTGGCACCATCTGCCCTGACTCCACAGGCGGTGCCTTGGAGCTCGACGGTTGTTTCGTTAAGTATGATGATTCCGAGTTCTTGGGCGTCGAGGACAAGACTTTGGTCGTTAAGAAATGTGGACCGTCCACTGCGTTTACTTCGGATGGGTTGACTCGAAGAGATGCTGTGCTGTCACATTTGGAGACATCCGATGGGGTGTACAAGGCGTTTAGAACGACTAGCTTGGGGGATTTGCAGGGTACAGCGCAGTGTGTAGGGGATTTGAGTGCGACCGATTGCCAGGATTGCCTCTCAAATGCGATTGGACGGCTAAGAGAAGAGTGTGGGCCCGCTCAGTGGGGTCGGGTAGGCTTGGCCAAGTGCTACGCGTGCTACTCCGAAGGTGGAGATTACTCGCCTGATGAAAACGGTAAGCGGCTCCGCCACCGTGAATAGTAGTGGTTTTGTAATTTTTTTTTTTAACATAGACGGGATACTAAGGACCTTAAAAAAAGGCTCAGCAAAAACTAAAAGCTATAAAAGAGAAGAAACTTAAGAAAACCAAACTAACTCTCCTCATCACCTTCTACCGAAAAGGTAAATAGGTAGAGGGTGATTAAAGATATAAAATATGTTGTTACTATTGTGAGCAAATTTTACTAAATGATCAGCATAAGAATTATCCTCTCTGTAGATATGTTGGAAAACTATTTGCCAATTCCTATGCAAATGAAACCTAGTATCCATAATGATGTCCTTGAAAGGTAGCTCATCTCATCTTTGAGTTATGAGGTTAATAGCTTCTAAACAATCAGAATATAAAGCTATTTTCCCATAATTTTTTTTCTAACAAAGATTTAGAACATGAAAAATTCCAATCACTTTAGTAATTGTGGAGGGGACATTTATCAATTTGCAGCTAAAGCCACATATCTACTGGCTTGAACAGTCTCGATTCACTCCTTCATATCCGCTTCTTTCATCTCCAAAAATTGATCCATCCACTTCAAGCTTGATCGTTCCTTTTCTAAGATTGTTTCCCTGTGACCTATGCAAAGGTGTCCATTGGTAGGGGGATGGTTTTGTGATTTCCACTATTCCGTTTTTGCTTTGGTATGATGATGACGACGACGACGACGACGACGACGATGATGATGATGAAGTTTTTGCGTGATTATTTAGTGAGAATTGACTTGCTTGAATAATTTTCAATTTACATTTCAAGCCACGATGAATATGTAGAAGGGTCAGTGTGGGAATGAACACCATTGGTATTTGGCAGGAGACATAGGTTCTAATTAGAGCTGCATAATGGATAGACTGGATCAGACTAAAACTCTACCTGAAGTCTGGTCTGATTTTTGGTCGGGTTGGGTTTGGCAGTTTGTGATCTGGTCCAGTTCAATGATGATTTAAGGTCGAGTTGAACTAGACTTGATCCACCAGACTAGTGGAATGGTTCGGACAATCTAGGTTTCCAATTTTCTTTTCTATTTTTTTTTTAAGTTTTTTTATATGAAGCAAGATTTCAACATGGTAAATACAATTTAAGACAACAAAAAATACCTATAATCATATAAAACTCATCCTAAAATATTAAGACTTCATCATAAATACATAAAAATTTCTAAAAATATTTTTTAAAAATTAAAAGTAACATCTAAATTACAAATTATTGAAAAATAAAAAATTCACCTAAACTGGACCAGACCAGTCCAGGTAGTCTGATCACTTGGTCCAAAACTCAGTTCAGCCCGACCAACCAGTCTAGTCTAATTTCATTATATAGTTTATTTGGATTGGATTGGACAGAACTGGACCACTTCGAATTGGACTGGACCGAACCGAATCATTGAATTTTTGCACATCCCTGGTTCTAATCATTCAAGATCCCTTTTTTACTTTTTGTTAGGGAAAAAAATATTTTGATATAGCCTGATTAATGGGTTTACTTGCAAAATTTATCGGCCTAAAAAGTTTGTCTTTGAGTTTTGCCGCCTTTCTTCCATCTTTTATTCTCAAGATAGGATAGGGAAAAGAAAGAATAATATAATAAAAAGAAAGAAAGAGACATTATTTGATGTTTTTGACCTGCTCTTTTGATTCATGGATGCTTTATGAATACTTCAACTGTTAATTAAAAGTAGCCATTTGAACTTTCTTAGTGGTAGGAAAAAACAAACTTAATTAATATATCATACACATCACTTTACATAAAGAATCCTATGGATGAAAATAAACAATCAAATCAAATCAAAATATCAAATAAAGCAAGAATGATAGTGCCATTTTTCCAATGAAAGGGCCGCTTGCAGTCACAACACAAAAAGGTAGGTATTTTGGTACAGAGCATCTCATCATTTGCGACGTCGTCTATTCCTGATTATTAAGATTAATCATATTTGATTAGTTTGAAATTATCCCTTGTACGATGCATAATTTTAAATTTGTTATGAACAAAGAAATCTAATTAATTGATATATGAATTGTAATGTGTAGGTAAGCGTAAAAGCAAGAACGGCGATGGACTTCAAAAGATGCAGACAATAATAGTTGGCGTCGTAGTAGTGGTGGCTCTGCTCACCACTTTCATTTCATTATTGACCAAGCCGAGCCAAAGCAAAATAGTATATTTTTTAACCTTAATTTCCCTTATGTATATTACACTCAATTTTTATCCTTTTTAATTTTCCTAATTAAAAATTTATTAATCAGCCGCAGGTGGTAAATCCAGAAGAACCTGTGGATAACAAACCCCCTCCCACAACACTTCCAGTTCCGCCAGCTTATTGCATTTGCGAGATGGCTAAGCAATTTTAAAATCTTTATCGGAAGATGTATCCATATCTAGTGTTTGATAATATCTCAAATAAGATTACCTCTGATAAAAAAAATGTATGTGCTTATTAAAAAATATTTGGAAAACTGTGAGAGGCTGAAGCTCTAGTGTCTGCAAGATTATGAGAGTCAAGTTCTATACATAGTTATATTAAGAGGCCATTTGGACTCATGATTATAAGTACTTATAAGTACGTTTATGTAAATCAGGACAAAACTCTTCTTATATACTTATCTTATTTTTCTTAAATTATTATCAAATAAATAACTTATAAGTTGTTTCAAACGAACTTTTTTAAAGAGGAAATGCAACAGGCCGCACATTTTTGTTCAATATGTTGAAAGAAGCGAGAGAATTAGTTAGGCGTGATTAGTTAGTTTCTTTTATGATCATATGAATAATGAAAGGCCTTTCACTTCTTTCTTCTTTTTTTTTTTGGTAAGCACAAGTATCCTCTTGGTAAAGGTAATTTTGTCTAGGTCAATGTCAGGCACTAAATATGTAAAAGCAAAATGCAAAAACCTAAATAATAAGTTAAGCTGAGACAATATCGGGTACTAAGTATGCATTCTTTAAGCTAGGTTTCCAAGTGGGCCCAAACCCCTACAAAGATATTTGTTTTAGTGGAAATTTGGAAGAATAGACAGTTGTATCAAAAATTTTTTTGAAGAACAGCTTGACAAGTTTGAACTTATGAATATCAATTTTAAAATATCCGAAAATAATATCATTTTATATGATACACGAAACATTTCCCTATTAATTATGAGAAACCTGATTTCTAAAAAGACAACATAATAAATTACACGTCATTTTTTTTTACCTCGGAATTCTACGTGAATTTTAAATTATATACTCATACATTTTTAATACGTTCAAATTGATAACGAACCATCTCAAATTAAAAATTATTGTGGGGGAAAGTTTCATTATTTTAAGATTATATACATGATATGTATAAGTAATTTGTAGGTCCTCTTAATTAGTCAAATTATTATAGGAAACTAATATTAACAATTTTACTAATGACGAAACTTGTGTATTAGCTTAACTGTTTTTTTTTTCTTTTGGCCGAGGAGAAACTTGGATATATTCTGGTCAAATGAAAAAGCTTAAAATTTATGTGAGCACCACACGGCGAAGGAAAGGCAACACATGAAATTTGAGTCTCCCACGTGTAGCGCTACGTGTCGTTTCGCTCTTCTGACCCCAGAGAACAACTTGTCTCCTAAGAAAAGCGGCATTCCCCTTCTCCAGAACGAAATAAAGAAAAAAAAGCGCCGGTCTTTCCCACCAAAAACCGTCATCGCATCGCAGATCTGTGGCACAGACCAAACATCGGTGTTCCCATGGCGCTCGAATGGGTTGTGCTTGGATACGCCGCCGCCGCCGAGGCCATTATGGTGCTCCTGGCATCGACGGCCTCCGCAAAGGCTTGATCGCTGTTACCCGAAATTTGCTCAAGCCCTTCCTCTCCATCGTCCCGTTTTGCCTCTTCTTGCTCATGGATATCCACTGGAAGTACGAGACTCGCCCTAGTTGCGAGGCTGACTCCTGCACCCCTACGGAGTACCTCCGACACCAGAAGTCCATCATGAAGAGCCAGCTCAATGCCCTCCTCATTGCCGCCGCTTTGGTCTTCTATTGGCTTCTCCACTCCGTCATCAATCTCGTTGTTAAGATTGAGCAGTTGAATCAGCGGGCGGAGCGCTTGAAGAATCGGGATTGAGTCCTCTCATGACTGGCAATTAGCGAGTCAATCAGGGTTTGGAGCGTATAACTCTCTTTTCGTGTGTTATAATGGATACCATTTCTTTCAATGTGTGTGTTCTTTTTCATTAATTTTCAAATTTTGGCTACTATTGTGTCGATGGTAGTTTTGCTTGTCCAACATTCTCTTTTTGGTTGATTATCTTGGTTAATACGATATGTTTGAAACTTCACAAGGGCTTTCTCTGTTGATTCTTATCAATGGATCGTTGATACAGCTTATTCGTCTCAAAATGTGGATTTACCCGCATACATTCTATCTTAGTCGCGGTCCGTTTAATTGTAATGCATGCGTAAAACTCAGCCTTAAGGAAAAACAAATGGTTGCTGAAGAATTTGTGTCTTCTCTCTTTGTCCAGTGGATATGTAAGTTCATCGTGCCTTCGCATTCAGCTATATGATACTCTTACAGTTAAGACAACTGCCTTGCCAGATGCCTCGTGTAGGTGTTGATCTGAACTGCATCCTTCGATTGTGCCGTACTGTGAGTTATGATATTCTTGAGTTCCAATCTCATTGATATTCTACGTGAATTTTAAATTATATACTCATACATTTTGAATACGTTCAAATTGATAACGGACCATCTCAAATTAAAAATTATTGTTGGGGAAAGGTTCATTATTTTAAGATGATATGTATAAATAATTTGTAGGTCCTTTTAATTAGTTAAATCATTATAGGAAACTAATATTAATAATTTTACTAATGACGAAACTTGTGTATAGCTTAACTGTTTTTTTTTTTTTAAATTTTTTGCCAAGGAGAAGCTTAGATATTTTTTTTGTTTTGTCAAAGTCTGAAGCTTAAAAAAAGCTACAGTTACTTCACGAGTCGTTCGCGATAGTCCCATGAAACTTCAGATTGCTGCCATGAACTGATGAAAGGTCCTTGTTTGAGATCAATTAGTGGGCTGGATTCTGGTGTAGGCCCAACTTGGTTTTCCATAGTTAGTCCATTGAAATCGCATTCGTATTCATCGGCATATGAGAGAGACTTTGGATTATGTCGAAATGAACATGCAACTGATGACAATAGAAACCTTGTATATATACGTCACTTGTACTGCCCTAAAATGTTGTATCAATGATATACATCAATATCAATACAAATATACTTTTTCCGCTATTTAATTAATTTACATAAATTAAAAATAATTAATAAATTGGTTATTTGTAAAAAAATCTTTTTTTTTAAAAAAAATACCCCTCCTTTTAATCATACAATTGCCATTCAACTTTGCAGTGCAATAATTTTATGTAGTTTGAAAAAAAAAATAGATGAGAAAAACAAAGAAAATTAATATATTGTAGTTAAGATCAAAACAAACTCTTCAATTAACTAGTTTCTATGGTTAAGACCATATAGAATATATATATGTGTGTGTGTATATAACAAAGTTTATACACAGACCTCCATATGATTTTTTTTACAAAAAAATTAGAGAGGCAAGTACTAATAGCTTGAAGTTACATGTGGGATAGAATGCACAATCTCCCACTTATAAGAGAGCGTCGGTATCACTTAAGTTAAAGCCTTTGACACTCCCATATAGGTTCCAATCTCATCGAGTCGAGGTTGTGAGGTTGTTATTATGGCAAGTACTGCATATAACTTTGTAAACAATCTTAGCTTGTGATGAAGAGTATAGCTAGCGATTCGTGAGATTGGGAGAATAGGTTCCTATCAGTCAACACCAAAAATCAAATAAAGCGAGATACCCCAATTATATAAACTTGTAGGGTTCTCATAATTCTCCCTTTCATCTTCCTCCCAGTAATCTGAGTTTTGAAGACAGAGTTTACGAATACTAAGAAGATTTTTAGAGACTTCAGGAACATGGAGGATATCTTTTAATTTGAGAGTGTATTGAGATTGAGGAAGAATAAAATCAGAAGAACCAGTGCAATGAACTATCAAACCTTTACCATCAGCACTAAAAATTCTATCAACAGACTTACCACTGGACTTGTCCTTGATGTTACGATCATCATGAGTGACATGGCTTGTTGCTCCGGAATCCAGGTACCAATCAGGATTAGCAATGCACTCAATGGTGGCCATTAACGCTAATTGATCTTTCTTGTGCTGCCTCTTGTCATTGATCGATAGCTCATCAAAGGTTTCATCAAACCTATACCAGCATTCACGAGCCTTATGGCCTTTCTTCTCACATATCTGACACTGATCAAGAGAACGATTGCTGGATTAAGCATTAGAAGATGATCCACAGTACTGTGATGAGTGACCACGTCCATGATTACCTCTTCCACCTTGTGTACGACCACCTCCTCTGTAAGGAGGCTTGCTATGAGCAAGATTAGTAGACTCAACAATTGCTGTCTTGGAATTTTTCTCAATACGAGCTTCTTGAGCAATAAGAAGTGACTCAACTTCATCAACAAAATAAGGATCTAATCGAGTGGTAATGGCAGTAATCCACGCATCATACTCATCAGAGAGACCTTCAAAAATAACCTCAATATGATCAGAATCACTGATCGGATGACCAATATCTACCAATGCATCAGTGATACTCTTAATCTTCAATAGGTAGTCATTTGCAGATAAACTTCCTGTTTTGATGGTTTTGAGTTGCGACTTTAGTTGACAGATCTTTGCTCTGGTTTTGAGAAGCAAAGTGTTGTTGAATCTTCTCCCAGATCTAAAGAGACGTCATGCAACCAACAACTCTGGTAAGCATCACATCCGACATCGAGCAAGATATCCAGGAGGTGAGCAACTGATCTTGTTGCTCCCAAGCAGAGTATTCTGGATTCACTTTGAAAGTTTCTGGATCTTTGTCATTTGGAAGATACTTCGCTGTCGGTTTTGCTGTTTTCTCAATGAAAGACTGAAGGTCATGACCTCGAATTGCAGATGCAATCTGATGCTTCGAGATGAGAAAGTTGTTCTCATCGAGCTTCACAGAGACGAGATGCGAGAAGGAGATTACAGGGGTGTTTGGCAACCCTCAAAATCACTTTTAAAAAGTACTTTTCTACAAAATGAGATAAACTCCTTCACATATTTACTTTGTAAACTATAAAAACACTTTTGAAACCATAATTTGATTTCCATCCAAACACCCCGTACGTATTTCTTAGTGGAGAAATCAGAAGGAGAGGAGAGAGTATTGTTCGGTGAAGAAGTCATGGTGGTTTGACCGAATGGCTCTAATGCCATAAAGGAAAAGTGGAGAGAGAGAGTG